TATTTTATTTATAATATGTATTATTAATTTTTTCGATATAAATTAATAAAAATAATATTCCTACGAAAATTTTTATTAAAAATGGGAACTATCCTTTATGTTTCATTTAATATGATTTAATTAATTTGCTGAACAAAAGTTTCATAAATATAACAGATTTATTAACTAATTATAAAAATTATTATGCCCTCTCTTTATTTTTCTATTTTATTTTAAAATGTTTCTAGTTCTTAATACTAATTTAAATTCCGTTGTTGGTAACGACAATAATTTCTGAAAACCATACAGTTTTATTTCCAAATATTTGTCATGTCTTTGTGACATATGAAATATATGAAAAGGCATTTTTAATGTTGGAATCACACAATGCACATTGCTCTCGTAAATTTGTGCGACAAATGCACGCTACGTTAATTGTATCATGAGTGGAGCAGAATGAATCATCCACTCGTAATCTGTATCAGATAATTCCTTATGTATGGGGGGAAACAAAAAACCTGCGAACAAATAAATATTCTTTTTTTTTTTTAACTCAACAAGTCACGCCATTAATTTAATATATTTGGAATATTTGTCAAATTAAATACATTAATTTTCAAATTCATCAAATAACGCACATTAAATCACATGAACATAAAGAGAGAAAATATGAATATTCTTATATAGCTTTTTATGAAATGATATATTAAAGATAAATTTAATTTACATTTCAGGATTAGATGGAGAATTATTTTATGTCAGAGAGGGCGTTGTAAACGAGTATGCTATCAAGTTCATCGTTCCTGTACCAGCTTTGATTGACAAGCTTCATTTCACATGGGAAAATCTCGCCGGTAGACCGGTAAGTTCGTATAATAATATCATATTAAATATTTTAATGCTAGCGCAATATTATACAGACTACGTCGTAAAGAGGCGTCGTAGTGAAAATATAGTGAAAGTTTCAATGAAGATATAATTATGTAATTTTTAAGCTGTATATCTTAAAAGTCTAGCAATTTAATTTGCATTAATTGTACACTCAAATAATTCTCATAAGAAAATTTAACTTTAAAATGAGTTAATTATGAGATATTCAGAGCAGAAAGAAATTTCTTTTGTTAAGATCTCGGTTAATGCGTGTTACGCAAGAGCGAGTTGCAAAGGGATTTGATGGAATAAAATTTTAAGCGAGCGGATAATACAGTGGTCGAGGACAAGAATTATCCATGCGCAAGATATTTACGTGCACAATATTCTTGGCGAGTACTTCTACATCTTTTATTTATGTTCCTCTGACTTTTCTGCCATTCCTCCCGTGTCTCTTTGCGTTTCTTCGCCGGGATTAAAGTCGCCCGTGGCTGAGAAATGCTGAAATTGCTCGTTAACGTAGGAATTCGCGTCACCGCATATAAGACTACTTCAGAGACGACGGATCTCATCTGACGAACCTCATCGAGCGTTTTTCAGGGTTCAGCGATCACACCGTCCAGCCATTCAAGACCTTTAACCAATCTTTATTCGCGTTTCTCTCGTGTCCTTATGGCGTGCCGTACTTATCGAGATTATCGAGGCATATCGTTCCTCACAGTTTTTTAAATTCTCAGCAATGGCTTAGTCTTTTCGCCGAAGAAACATGCAACATTCGATTTCAGTGCTAAAAATTACGTGACATATTCGTTTGTTAGGAAATGATTAATCGCCTCTGATTTTTTTTTTGTTTTACAACCGTTATTTTTCTTTTCTTATTGCGTCAGTAATTCTTTCTCATTTTTTATATCGTACGCGTTCATTAATATTACTAAGAATCCACCGATCAATCCTTCTCCTACTTTTTGCCTTAAATAAATAACCAACTGTGCGTCCCACTGTGCGAATTAATTTTATGTTAGTCTTAATGTAACGACACTGCAGACGCCGCGCGAGAGATAGTTACGACGATGAGAATCAGCAGCTGCATATTTATGCGGGATATAAAATCGAAACCAGACTATCTCTCTTTCTCTCGTCCGATGAGTCATCGGTGAAGCCCCGCAAACCACCTCTACCCGTTGCTCGCCGTCGACATCCGTGGTACATTGACAAAGTGGCGGCGAAAAGTGGGCAGAATGCGGCGGGGTGTCCGATTGACTCGTCGACGATGCGCGGAAAAAAAGGATGGATCCAGGAGCGGGACAAAGTGGTCCATCCACTTCTTTCCAGTTGTCTCGGCATATAGCAGAC